GTAATGTAAATATCTTTTTGTTTTCCGATGGTCTTAGGCGACCCCTGTGAAAGGGTCGTTTGACCCTCAAAGTGGTCGTGACCCACAGGTTGAGAACTGCTGCTAGGGAGAACAATAATGCTTGGTAATTGTAGCAAGTCAAGAACAAGGGGGCAGAAAGGAAGGAGCAGGAAGCTACAGGGCTTTAGAAGTCACTTGGAGTCAGGAGAATGGAAGAGAGTGGCCGCTGGGTCCAGCAGAAGGCATCACCTGTGTACAGGATGCGGCTGATCATTCCTGGCATCACCATAAGGAACATGGGCAGTAGCTTCAGGTACCCACACATCACGCAGCCAGCCTTCACATGAGACATGTTTTTGGCTGAGAGGCAGCGCTGCACAATGACCTGCCAGGGAAAGCCCCATTGAGGGAGGGGAGCAGGCTGTGACACTTTCTGGCCACCCCAGCTCCCTTCCCCCATATCCTCAGCCTGGATCCTATGTCACCAAGGCTCAGTGACCCCCCCCCAGGCCATGTGAGCCCTGCCTTGCCTTTCCCAACCCTGCAAGCCACAGACAGGAGTCCCTGTAGCACCCTGGGGGAGATCCTGTCCATCCCGTATATTCAGTGTGGGTACCTGATCTGTGCACCAGTACCACAGGGCAAGGATGGACAGCCCAAAGATGAGTCCAGGCCATGGCAGGTCTCCCTTGAGGGGATCTCGGAAGATGTGGAAGGAGTCGGCCCTTGGGGTGTAGCATTCTTCCCTGATGGTGATGTTTCCGTCAGAAACCATGGTTGGAATGGCTTTCATGTACTTGTTCATGAAGGCTTCATATCCTCCCACTTCGTGAAAAGCTGGAAAACATTGGTAACAAATATCAACATCCAGAGACTCTCAACTCTTCATAGCGGTTTCCTCCTGGGGATGCCTGAGAAACTGAGAGGACCCAACAACAGCCAGAGACCACTGTGTGGTCTTGGGCAAGTGAGTTTTCCATTCTAGGCTCGGCTTTCTTGTCCATAAAAGGGGATTATTAACCCTGCCCAGACCCCTCGGGGGGCTATGGTGAGGATACAAAGCAACAACCTGTGAAAGAACTCCAACCATAAACCTTTCTACAAAGGGCAGGTATTTGAATCACTAAAAGAAAGATCTTGGTTTTGAACCAGGTTCAAAAACTGTTTTCCCCTCAACCCCTGCGGTCAGCAGCAGCCTTTGGGAACCCAGACACACAGACTAGGCCATACCACCCCTGGTTCCAGTCGTGTGGTAGAATGGACAAAGGATGGGTGAGGAGCCTGGAACCCTGCCACCTGTGCACGCTGTGCCTTTGAACAAGGCATTCCAGCCCCTGCCCTGCAGACCCTCAGGGAACACTAGGGAAAACTGAATGGGAGTTCTTGGAAAATAGAGAGCATAGAGAGCAGATATGAATGAGGCTTCACAAGACACACAGAGCATGGCCCCCCTTAAAAACAAAATGTATTTTATAACCTCCCATACCAATAACCCTAGACCTAGGGTTTCTAGTCTTATCTTTAGGATTTCATAGACAAATAAAATTTCAAAAAATTGGGGTGGGGGGACAACACAGAAAGATTTTTTTTAATTTGTCGAATAAGGACACAAACAATAAAATGATCACTTATTATCATCAATTCATAAGAGAAAGGACAGTTAGGGCAGCCAGTTAGCTCAGTTGGTTAGAGCACAGTGCTCACAACACCAAGGTTGCTGGTTCAATCCCCACATGGGCTGCTAAGCTGCGCCCTCCACAACTAGATTGAAACAACTACTTGACTTGGAGCTGATGGGTCCTGGAAAAACACACTCTTCCCCAATTAAAAAAAAAAAAGTACATTTAACATCCAAATGTAGACAAGACAAAATCTGAGATTTAAGACACAACATTTGAATATATTTAGCCTTGATATTTAGCCTTATTCCTTTTTTTGTCCAGTTTCTCTGTGGAGAGAAAATCATGTCATCAGAAGCCCACACTGGGGACCACTGGCCCAGATTGTCTAGAGGGCAGCAGGAAATCCAGGTGTTGTCTGGACCAGGCCCAGCCTGAGAACTCCAGGGCTGAAGAAGGTGCCTCCTGCAGTGATCACCTGAAGTGATGACCAATCTGAGCTGGACCACTTCCCTGGGGAGGGCATAGTGGGCCCAGCTCACTGATGGGGGTGGGGTGGGGCACGAAGGACATAGGCTGGACTTGCTTTTCTCTCCGTGGACCTCTCGCTACCTTTTCTTCCCGCCTCCTCAGCCTGTCCAGGCCCCACTTACCGAACCCGGTCAGGATAAAAGACCCCACCAGCATGATCGCCGTCTGCAAGGTGTCCGTGTAAATCACAGCTGCCAGGCCCCCTAAGCAGACAAGCAGACAGTACAACTGATTTCATGTAGGAGGATGACCTATCAGCCTGCTTTCTGTCTCAACCCCTGCCCCCCTCCCTCTGCACACCTTCTGAGCACACCCCTAAGTCACCTGCCAGCCTTTCCCTCCTTCCCTCCCTGTCCTGTTACAGCAGTCTGCTACCCAGTAGGATAGCATCTCCACTTCTCACAGAAATGCTGGGGAGACCTGGAGGAAAGGAGCAATGTTCCTCCCTATTTAAGGAGGAAGAGCTCGACGTGACCCTTTTAAGTCAAGAGATGGCTTCTCTGTGGTCAGAAGCATCTTCCACAAATGAAGGCAGGGAAGAGCAAAGAGCTGACATCTTTACAGGATGTCTGGTGACATTGCCAAGTCAATACACTTCAAAGGGCTACTTGTATGTTGACTCTCTTTTCTCAAACCATCTAAGTAACTTCTTGTCCCCAGAGCTATGGGGCTCCAGCTGAGCTGCAAGTTCCATCACAGACTCTGGCCCCTCCCTACCTGGGGCAGAGTATCTCCTCTGCAAATGGGCCCCCAAACGTTATTCGTGTCACCAGCTTCTTCAGTCACCTCTTGAGTCTTCCTCTAAAATCTCTTTGTATGTATCACTCCCTCCCTTTCACCCCACAGTGCCTCCCAGTGCCTGTCACATCAAATCCAAGGCTTCTTTCTGGATTGCCAGGCTCCTGCCCTGTGACCCTGCTTGAATTATCAGGCCTTATAACCCCCCCACACACACACCCCAACTACCTCATATTGACCACCCTCCTCCAGCCAAGCACACCTGCTGCTCACTCTACCCTCACTCCATGCCTTGCCCATTTCTACCTCCATTCCTTGCTCTCACCTGTCCCTGCCCCCGGCACACCCTCCCCCCACCCCACTGATGCTTTCAATTCAGCCAAGTTCTCTCCATAGCCTGGCAGACCAAGCCCTGCCCCACCTCCTGGAAGAAGCTGTCCTGACTATTCCAGCCAACCCTGGAGTTTTCTGGGGCCACCTATATAACTTGTTAGGGTCTATGAGTTGGGATTAAGCATCCTCAAACTACTTCCTGGGTGTAACTCTCTTCCTCGAGAGAAGAAGCCATGTCTCCTCCTGTCTTTCATTCTTTCCAAGAGTCTAACCTGGGGCTAGGGTTGAGCCAAGTCATCTGAATGGACTCACCTGTGATTGTGTAAATGCCAGTGATTGCCAATAAGAGAAAGATGGCCAGGTACAGATCCAGGCCCAAGGCCAAGTTGATGAATATGGCCCCGGAGAAGATGTCTGCCTGGAAGGAGAGGAGAGGTGAGCTAGGGGTGAGAGAGGCCAGCTGGCACATGGGCTGCAGGCCAGGGAGACAAACGTAAAAAGGTTAGCAGAAGCCATTTCCTGTGTAAGGTCAATGCCTGTGATTTCTAGGACCCAATGTTGGCCCGCACCCCTTTGCCCTTTGGCTGAAATACCACAATTAGAGATTCATATTTTTATCCCTAGTTAAGAATATGAAAGATAAGGGCTGGCCGAGTAGCACATTGGTTAAGAGCTGGCTTGGGATGCCAGAGGGCCCCAGTTCGGATCCCACATATGAGGGCCAGTGACACTGCCCTCTACAGCTAAGATGCTG